GATCCAGTAAAGCAAATCCTAAAAGGAAATTAGTGTCCAAAGCTGCCGTTACCTCCAGCTCCATTAGGACCCACCTGGGCTGGATCATGAAACAGCATCTAAACTTGCATGAAAGCCCTTTGTGATGTGGATGTAACACGCACATCAGGGTGGTGGCTGATGTTCACCAGCTTGCCTCTGCTAAGAATGGCACTACTCCTTTGGATCTGACATAAGAAGGAAAGAAGCAGCAAGATACTCCTTGGTGTAAATCAGGATGGGTCCCTGGACTTGCCTGGAGCCTCTCTGTTGATGTGACCTGAGCACATGGCTCCCCAGCTGGGTGGGTGTCTCACACCTCCAACGTGGTGGATAGAACCACAGTGGTGGATGAGCTGTTACTTGCCTGAAAAAATAGTGTTTTGGGGGAAAATTGTCTCCAGTCATTCTCTTTTTGCATGTGATTTTTTCCTACATATGTTTCTAATCATTAAGAAATTCTGTAGCTTAAATAATGCTCTGAAAGCACGGTAACTGTTGGACTACATTCTGTTGTAACCTTATTGAATTTCACTTCTCTGGAAAAAATAATGGGATACTATATCTTGAAAAACAAATGGTAATTGCATTTTTAACAGAATGTTTCTCTTTGTGTTTCAAAACCTTCTGCACATAGTTAGACATGTAGCCAGGGAAGAAGGTACAAAGCATATGGGCCAATTTCTGTCTGTTGGCTGTTCAAGATGCCTTAATATTCAAGCAGTGATATGTGTGTGTCCATGCAATATGGCACAATTTATCTACACGGTAGCCATAAGCTCAGGTGAGGTGGTCAAAAAGTTGTGTACTGGGGTTAGATATTCAAGGAGGAGTTGGGGAAGGTGGGTTTACATCCTGCTCCATATTACATGTGTGGGTGTCCATCCTTATATTAATTCACATTTTGGCTACTTGGACCACAGACAACCAATGTTCCTGTATTTGTGGTGCTGGCCAGAGGCACAGGTTTATCTTCCAGTTGACCAGGATCTTACAGCTAAGGGTCTTGTTGAGACTGCAAAGCCAGGAGTTGTCCAACTGCTTTGTACTGCCCATGCACAGCGGTGATATGACTTCCTCAGTGCTTTGGGGATTTGCACATCACCACATGCTGAGAACTGATTTGATTAAAGCCTGGGACCCAAAATAGCACCGTCACAACACAGTTTGGTAACACGCTGGTGTTATTGTCTACCGAGGTTAGGAGAGCCCCGGTAATACTGGAAAGCTCTTCCCCAATTTTTAGTAAGTGTGATGTGTTAAGAACTTTGTGAAGAGATGCATTTGGACATGTGAAGCTTCAAGGCAAAGTAATAGGCTTGAGGTTTCTGACTGACAAGACACATGTGAGTACATGCAAAATGTGCTCCTCCTGCTAAAAATAACATTTCTCCTGTCAACCACGATGCATCCACCCCCACAACACCACCCAGAAGAACACATTAACACCTTGGCTTTGCACGTAGCCCGATTCACAGCAGCCACAAGTGGTAGAGGGATCTGCACTCTGTGTGCATGCTGACAAATCATATGGCATAGCGAAGAACAGAGGAGTGAAACTGGGCTAGCAGAAGTTGACGCCTTATCATCACAGTCCCTTTGAGCATGCTGTAGGCTGACACCTCCACCAACCGAGTCATCTCCCTGATGCCAGGATGAAGAGCACGAGCCCACTATCCTGATTTAGCCTCTGGTAAGCAAGGCAAGGCTTGCCACACCAGGAAGGGTGGAATAGGTTTGTTGATGCAAATGTACTGTAACAGCACGGGGGCACCAGCTTGGGGACAGCAAAGCATGTCCAACCACTGCTGCTCACAGCTGTGCTATGGTGACATGTAAATATACTCTATAGACTGCTGATGTGAGATGTTTCTCCCATTAATGCCCCCCATTTGGTGCCTAATACCATCTAGAAACTTGTAAATAATATTGCAGACCAGGAAGTGTTGGGTTGCACATAGGTATTACACTCAAAAAGGACTCCTGCAATAACTAAGGTGCAGGTCTCTCATACAGCCTGTGTGTGCTTCTGCTGGCACTGCCGTCACCAAGGCAATGAAAGACATGGACAGCAAAGCTCTTGAAAGTGGTGAAACACTTCACTTGAAATAATTTCGGAATTATTATTTCCTAAGAAATAATTTTTTTTTCCCTGCAAAATAAAAGCTTTCTGCTAAAACGTTAAGGACAATGAAAATTTACCATTATTTTGAACTTCTCATCATAACTTCTAGGCAAATAATTTAAAAAATCATTAGTGACCATTTCGCTTCGGTATAAATTTTGGTTGTTTGCACAGTGGATCTCTTTAAAGGGGTGGAAACAAGTTGTAGCTAAAATGTTGGCCAGTGATGTGAGGTCGATTCTTGGTCAGGGGGGTCACTGTGGGTCCACTGAAGCCTTTCCCTGGGACACGTAGCTTTATTCAAAGGAGATTGTCAGAAAACCCAGGAGATTTAAATGCATAAATTCCAATCATCTCTTCTTTAGCTGGCAAGCGCATGAGCCTACATTCTCACTCTTGAAATTAAGCTCCTTTAACTCTCATTTAAGTGGTTAGGCAGAGCCCTGGGCTCTCGCAGTGCTTCCCTTGCCTGAACTTCCTCTGATGGCTCTGGCAAAGCCAGCCAGGCTTTGAAGGATGCTGAAGGCACCCAGTCCTTTGCAGATGGTGTTTAGCACTTAACAGGATCAGCCCCTTAGTGGCTTGTATGGTGCCCATCACCTCAGATGCCTTACTGGTTTTTATATTATGCAACGCCCACCATATGTAATTAGGCAAGTAAGCTGCTTTCTCCTAACCTCAACTGTTTGTAAATGCCTATAATCCCAGCGAGGTGTCTGTATAAAGGAGCTCCATGTTAGGGGCAGAAGGGAGCAATATTCTTCCACAAGAAAATTAGGGAGTTGTTGACAGACATGTAAAGCTAAAGGTTTGCAGGATTGCTTTTGTTCAGCCAAATGTTTGGAGGTTTTGGGGTTGGTTTCGGAGATCCCAGTGTTTAAACGTAGCTATTCCGTAGGTGATCTGGCAGTAGCTGGACATAAGAAAGCAGCTTGCCCATGGCAAGTCCTGTTCCCAGTATGTTATCAGCATCTTAGCTTGTTTTGTTTTCTTTCCAGTCCTTTCTTACTCCTGTTCTAGCAAAAGTAACCCCAGCACCAAATACCTTCCTGGAGTTCATCAGCCAAGATGGAGCTTCAGTTTTGGCCTGGTTTGGTTTCCCTCTTGGAAAAGCTGAATATTTGGATGCTTTTGGTGGTTCTGGTCACCTTTCTTTTGATTATTGACCTTGTGAAAAAGAGACGACCCAGGAATTTCCCTCCAGGGCCACAGCTCTTTCCTCTTATTGGAACCATTGTGGACCTTAGGCAGCCCCTCCATCTTGTGCTGCTGAAGGTAAGAGTTCCATGAACATTTCTCCTACTAACAGTATTTTACCTCTTCAGTGACTTTTGTCACTAAACCTGTGATGCAAGGGCAGCCTCTGAAGAACTACCTATGTAGTAGCCATATATGATAGGCACCCTTCTTAGTTTTATTTCTTATTATCATGTCCTCTTCCATGGGAGTGGGAAGGTCCAATGGGAAAGAAACACATCATGGAGGAAGACTTACATCTTCCTCCTCTTTTTCCCATCTGACCATCACTATTTTCTGCTGGAGCCCAGGAAGGGTTTGGAGGGGCCGGGCCAGTCTGGGGGATGGTTGGCAAGTGCTGAGTGAGAAATGAACTGTTCGGACTGTAAAGATCACCTCTGGAAATTGTCTTGTCATTGTCCTTGCTCAGAGGCCAACGATTCACCCCATTAGATCTGAATGAAACCTTTAAGACCCTGAGTTGACCATTCCTGTTGCAGAAAGAGGCAGTGACTGCAAGAGTGGAAGGTGAAGTTCTGACTTGCTGGTTGGAAATATCCTTTCCAGTGACTTTTACTTAGCAAGCTGACACCAGCCTATTTAACAGGGCACTAGCACAGTTGTCTCCCTGGGAGGGGACCCTTTGGGAAGGCTGAGGCAGCCTGCTCAGGATATTTTGTCACATATACACACCATCATTACTAAAAAAAATAATCTCACACAATGCCTGAGACACCCATTTGGTCCCAGACTGGTTTCATGAGTCCCCATAGCAGTTCAGGGTGACCGTGGGCTTCTTTTCATGTAACTCATACTAAAAAGACAATGGCCTGAGCTCTGTGGCAGAGTGAGACCTGAGAGATGATATGGTCACCTTTTGCTCTTATACATCAGGGAGTGGAAGGCTGCAGAGGAGACACTAATGCTAGCAAAGGCCATGCAAGGAAAATGGCTATAATTTGACCATAAATTCATTCAGGCTTAAAATTAGAAGTAGATTTCTAGCCATCAGCAGTTGAACCCACTTTTCTAAATGGGATAGCTGAAGCAAGAAACCACACTGTGTTAGACACAATGTTGATGAGAGGGATCATTTGTTTTGCCTTGCCCTCTGCAGCAAGAGTCTGGGCACGGTGACCTCTCATACCCTTGTATACAGAAACATAAGTAAACCACCTTTCCCACACTACAGCTCTCTAGCACTTTTTATGCCATCTCCAGATTGGATATAAGGAGGAAATTCTTTCCTGTAAGGGTGGTGAGGCACTGGAATGCATTGCCCAGGGAGGTTGTGAATGCTCCATCCCTGGCAGTGTTCAAGACCAGGTTGGACGAGGCTTTGGGTGAGATGGTTTAGTGTGAGGTGTCCCTGCCCATGGCAGAGGGGTTGCAACTGAATGATCTTAAGGTCCTTTCCAACCCTAATTATTCTATGATTCTATGATACATGGAATAGTTTAGACCGGATGGGACCTACAACTTGGGTTTGGGTTTTTCATAAGTCCCTTTGCTTCAAACAGGGCTAAATTCACAGTTAGATGCTAGTGCCTGAGGTCTTGCCCAGGTGAGTTTTGCGAATCTCACCCTTCTTGCTCTCAGAGGCTGATGATCTCTCTTTCAGCTTACTGCTCGGTATGGGAACATCTTCAGCGTGCAGTTTGGAAGCCTGACGTTTGTGGTAGTCAACGGGTACCAGATGGTGAGAGAAGCTTTTGTCCACCAGGCTGAAATATTTACAGATCGGCCAAATATTCCACTCCTCCAAGAAATATTCAGAGGCTTTGGTAAGCTAGGATTTTGGTACAAATGTTTCATCCACTTGCAGTGGTAACAATTAGAGTGAAACAACCAGGTTGAACTAGAATCTTGCTAACTGCACCCATAAAAGCTTGCACAGAGGAGGGCAGTAACTGAATTCAGTCTCATAATCACACAGGTGCACATTTTAATCTCTCTAAGAATGACAAGGATGGGATCAAAGTCAGCTCTTGATGAAAGAAGAGAAACAAATGCAAGCTGCCCAGGGATCGATACACGTGAAGAGTTTTCCCCTTGGTTTTAATTTCTCCTTTACTTTTTCTCCATCAGTTGCATATAGCTCCAGAGACAGGGTATGGTGCTCCTGCTTGCAGCTCTGCCAACAGCGTGATAGTACTCATAGTATTTTGGCTTACACTTTTTTTTCCCACACAAAGTGACAAAGTAGCAGATTAAAGCAAATCCATAAAACTAGATCTTTAGCATAAGCCAATTACTCCTGAATTTTAATTCCCAGGGAAAGCTATAGTTTTTCCATGTCTGGGAGGGTTTGTTTGCTTTGGTTTGGGGTTCTTATTCAAGGTGAAAGGCCATTTCTGAATCTTACTATTCATATGCTTCATCCCTGGAAGTGTTCAAGGCCAGGTTGAACGGGGTTTGGAGGAAGCTGCTCTAGTGGAAGGTGTCCCTGCCCGTGGCAGGGGTCTGGAACTGAATGTTCTTAAGGTCTTTTCCAACCCAAACCATTCTATGATTCTATATGAACCACAGCAAGACTAGTTTGCTTGGTTTTACTGCCTACAGGACTCATATCATCAAATGGGCATATTTGGAGGCAACAGAGAAAGTTTACTCTAGCAACACTGAAAAGCCTTGCTGTAAGTTTTGAGGAGAAAGTGCAAGAGGAGAACCGGTACCTTGTGGAGACGATTGAGGAGGAGAAAGGTAGGTGGTTAAGGTACAGCACCATGCTAAGGTAAAGCTTCCAGCTCAGTGAATAATGAATAGTAAAACTCTCACTCCGATGCAGCTCCTAACATGCAAAACATTTCTCAGCTCAAATCTTACATTTCTATACTGTGCCTTTTAGCACTTATTTAGACCCCAAAGCCTAATATTTTAGTTCCTCCTTATTAATATTAGGCAAACACATATTAGGTACCTATTAGACCTTGCATGTTTATATGACTAAGAAAGCCTCTCCTGTGTTCTGCGAAGGAATAAATGCAGCTGTCCTGCTGTCAGGCACATATGCTTGGAAGCTCAGTTAACCTCTGCTTGTCCTTGGTTTTGCAAAGTATTTTAAAACTTGTTTAGTCAGGCTTTCCTTTTGTATCATGCACAGATGAAGCGTGCGCATTGCTCTTTTATGGCCCAGCTTTTAAGAACTGCCAGAGCGATATTAGTAAGAATAATTTGTATGTTGGTACATGGGTGATGTTGCACTTCAGCTTTAAATAGAAGCAGATGGGGTTTAGCTAATTCTATGGAGCTATATATAGTAAACAAGAAAGATCTAAATAGGAATTGTGAAATTATATACTGAACTTGCTCCATCTTAATTGCTGTTGCACTGAACAGGCCAAATACTTCATGTTGCCAATTGATTATAGTCCTTTATAGCCCTAATCAATAAACTAATTAAGCTGCTGGTTTGGGCCTTTCTTCCATTAGCAATGACAAATAGCGATCATGTCCATCACTCTAATATCTGAGCACCAGCCCACTTTAATTATTTTCTTGAAGAGTGGGGCTATCAGCAGTCCTGTGCCTTGCATTTCAAAGCGATGCTCCCCAGCATACCCACAGCAGCTCAGGGCTGGACCAGATTCTTTACTCATTCTAGAATCTCATATCATGGCAAGTAGCTCTCCAGGCTGCCTAAATGTGCCCTAGGAGATGATAGCTCTTCCACAGAATGAGATGTGACAAACATCACAGTACAGTTTGCTCTCATAGGAGCTGATATGCATCACAACGTAGGTGGGCCATGTGAGCCAATGGTGGATTTTAGAGGTGGGTGCAGAGACTTACAGTCCTCTCCTTCTTCCCTCTCTCCTCCATCTCACTTCATTTCTCTGTGGTGGACAGTGTAATGGCTGTTTTGCAGTGTGGCTACTCACGAGCTCCCTGCCTTGCATTAAGCTTCCAGGGACTCTCTCCTGGTGTTTAAAACTGGCACTGAAAACACATTAGAGCAGGCAAACCCAGCAGCCTTACCATGGCACGCTCCTGGTTGTTTTCCCTGGAAAACAGTTCAAACCCTGCTTCAGCAGCTCTGTCCTAACATCAGTGTGTGCCAGCAGCCTGGGCTGGAGAAAGGAGGGGATGTCCTCGGAGAAATGATGTCGTGGTTCACAGTGCCCAATCTCCAGCAGGATGGAGGTGGTGGGGATGGTGGGGATACCATGGATGAGAAGTGGATGAGGTCTCATCGCATCTTCACAACCATTGATCTGGTAGAGAATGTGGTTTTGCCTGAGACTTTAAAGAAAAAAGATAAATCTGCCTTTCATTTCGTTTGCTCCAGGCCAGCCATTTGACCCTCATTATAAAATTAATAGCGCTGTTTCGAACATCATCTGTTCCATAACTTTTGGGAACCGCTTCGACTACCATGACAACCGTTTCCAGGAATTGCTGCACTCGCTGGCTGAAACGCTTCTGCTCATCGGAAGTTTCTGGGGCCAGGTAAGGCCAATTGGATGCTTTTCTAGCTTCAGCTGCATGTGAGTTCTCAGAAACCAGAGTTTCTAAGTCACTGACGTAATCTGCTGTTCCCTGTACAAAAAAAGTCATGTTATAAGGGAAATGACCATGAGTATTTTTTCACATTAGACTGGGTTTATACCCAAAACTCATCAGGAAAGTAATGAACCAAGATAAATTATTGAGGCACATGGAAATAAAACACTACAGGATTGTGAAGCCTATCTTATACCTGACATAACCAAAAAACAATGGGAAAACCTTTAAAATACCTGTTTCTATAAAAAGAAGGGCCAATAAATAGCACTCTCTGTGAAGATTCCCACCTTTTCCACCACCTCTTTCCCAACCAATTTCTTACATAACTTTTATTCATGACAAAACTGCCTGAGAGTCCAGGTTTACAACCAAAACAGGTGGATCTGGGGACATAGCTTCTTCATGGCCACACACCATAGGTCAAGTCTTACCTCTGCCCCTTTGTGGACCCCAGTACTAAGGGGCTTTTCTGCATTCACACTGATTTCTGACTCCAGCGGCCACCTCACATTAAGTGACAACTTTGGCCACCCAAGAGAACTTTATCAGCAGAAAACAGTGGGGTGATTCTTATCTTGTTTGTATTTGTTTGCATCTGTGTAACTAAATTGACCTTTGTAGCAAAACTGGCGTTTTTCTGGTAGCAAGCAGAGCTAATAAATTGTACTATCGTTCCAACTATGATACCTGCTCTTTTTTAACCCAAGAAATACTCTTTTGATCTCTTTGATTTCTCACCAGCTGTACAATGCTTTCCCCTTCATCATGAGATGGCTGCCAGGACCCTTTAGGAAAATCTTCAAGCACTGGGAGAAACTTGAGTGCTTTGTAAAAGGAGTGATCGCAAAGCACAAGGAGGATTTGGACCAGTCCGAGGCAAGAGATTATATTGACTGTTACCTGAAGGAAATCGAAAAGGTGAGAGGAAAACACTTAGAAGGTAAGAGGGAAATGCTTAGAAGGTAAGACGAAAATACTTAAAGCTTAACCCATAAAATGAGCAGAGAAGCTTCAAGGCTGCTTTGTCAGAGGAGCTCTTGCCTCCCCTGTTGCCTTCTCCTCCCTACTTCTTCCACGCCAAACTTTTTAGCAACAGCAGGAGACTGATCAGTTTGAAAGCACAGATTTTTTTTCATTTGGAAGTATTTACACTTTGCCTTCTTCCATTTTTCATTCTGCCACACGGCGTAGGAGGGCTCTCAGGGAATGTGTTCGTGTTTCTAGGAGAGCTCACAGGCCTGTGTTTGCTATTGTGAAACTTCTCATTTGAAAACTCTACCTGCTTTCAAGACTCACTGTACAGCAACCAGCATGTCTTTCAGAGCAGTCTGTAGGGCTTGAAATTCAATGGAAATAAGGAGTGGAAATCTCCAAGTCTGGGTTTGTCCTGGGTTAATCTGTGACGTTATTTTTCTTTCTAGTAGCTGTGTTTTGGCTTTAGTCTGAGAACAATGCTGATAACACCGATGTTTTAGTTGTTGCTAAGTAATGCTTACTCTGATCAAGGACTGTTCTGTCTCTCATGCTCTGCCAGTGAGGAGGGGCACAAGAAGCTGGGAGGAAGCAAACACAGGACAACTGACCCAAACTAGCCAAAGGGATGTTCCATACCACAGCACCTCATGCCCAGTACAGAAATGGGGGGGAGTTAAGAGGAAGGGACTGATTGCTACTCAGGTCAAGCTGGGTACTGGTCAGCAGGTGGTGAACAACTGTGCACCACTTGTGTTTTCTGAGCTTTCAGTTCTTGTTGTTTCCTATTATTATCATTATTATTATTATTATTATTATTGGTGTCTGTGGTATATTTTACTTTGTTTTAGTTATTAAATTGTTCTTATCTCAACCCGTGGGGTTTACATTCTTCTGACTGTCCTGCCCATCCTGCCCTGGGGAAGAAAGGGAAGGAGAGAAGTGAGCAAACAGCTGCATGGTGATGACTTACCAGATGGGTCAACCACAGCAGGGTTGGTGGGTAATAAACTGGAAGCAGGACTTGAGTTACATACAGGTGGTTTGGGGTTGGGTTTTTGAGACCATCCTCTCCTTAACAAGAGTTCTCATTGTTATGTTTTTTCCCCAAGTCTAAGGGTGACACCGGCTCATATTTCCATGAGGAAAACCTGCTGTGCTCCACCCTGGACCTCTTCTTAACCGGGACTGAGACAACGGCAACCGCCATCCGCTGGGCTCTGCTCTACATGGCCACGTACCCCCACATTCAGGGTAGGGCTGTGGATGGGTCCTTCGTTTGGTCCAAAACTAGATAAGTGAAACTCAGAGTTATTTCCAGCTCTGCCACATGCTGGACATGCCTGCGCCCCAGGCTTCTTATTGGAAACCTTTAGAACACAGATATCGCTTTGCTTTCCTTAGAGAAAGTGCAACTTGAAATCGACATGGTGATCGGCCAATCCCGCCAACCCACGATGGCTGACAAGGAGAACATGCCCTACACCAGCGCGGTGCTGAGTGAGGTCCTGAGGATGAGCAACGTGGTACCCCTGGGGGTGCCCAGGATGTCCACCAGTGACACCACCCTGGCTGGCTTTCACCTGCCCAAAGTACGTGGAGGCCACCAGCCTTCCCCTCATCCCACCACAGCAGGGTCTTCATGGCTCAATTCCCAGATCTCACCTGGAAGGGAGCCAACCCACAGGATCTTATGGAAATATCACACTTATATAGAAAATACAAGCTCTTATCTGAAGACAGGCTGAGAAAGCTGGGGCTGTTCAGCCTGGAGAAGAGAAGCTGCATGGAGACCTCAGAGCTGCTTCCAGTATGTGAAGGGGGCCTACAAGTATGCTGGAGAGGGACCCTTTACCTGGGACTGTAGCGACAGGACAAGGCATAATAGGTTCAAACTTAAATAGGGGAGATTTAGGTTAGATATTCAGAAGAAATTCTTTATCATGAGGGTGGTGAGGCGCTGGCACAGGCTGCCCAAGGAAGCTATGGCTGTGGCAGTGCCCAAGGCCAGGCTGGACACAGGGGCTTAGAGCAACCTGCCCTCGTGGAAGGTGTCTCTGCCCTGGCAGGGGGCTGGAACGAATGAACTTTGAGGTCCTTTCCAGCCCTAATTCTATGAGCCCATGATGAATGCTGCACGGCTGTTACGGGTCACACATCCTTATGGAGAATTGTGAGATTTGTGAGATATTGTGGTGTTGGCATGGAGGTGTCCCTGCCCATGGCAGGGGGGTTGGAACTTGATGATCTTAAGGTCCTTTCCAACCCTAACTATTCTATGATTCTATAGTCATAGATTTCAACTGTAAAAGGTTTTTGCCTTAAATTTTACAAAAGATGCCCTCCACACATTATCAAAATAGAGGGCCAAAAGACACATGAAAGCAATTCATGTTTGTTAATTCCACAGAGTACTAAAAATCATCTATTAACAGTATCACTTGATAAAAGCCAGGTAATGGTATTGATGAGTACACACTGTTCTGTAACTGTGAAAGCAAAGATAAGATTTAGATATAACTGTTCTCTTCCATGTATATGACTGGTTGCATCAAAGAAAATTAAAAGTAATAAGTTTGTTCATTTTGCTCCACACTTACTAGAATAACTCTTTTTCTGATGGAAGATGTGGAGATTAACCAGATGAGGTTTAAAATAAAAGAACAAGAAAGCAGATCGATTGAAAATTAGCTGGTTAAATTTTTCCAAATTCCAATGGGAACACGGTGTCACCAATTTGAAGCTGGTTTATATCAACATCCCCAGTTACAGCAGCACGAGGCAAGGATCAACACTCTGGTGACACATAGAGGCGCACAGAAGTGAACAATCCTGTAGGCTTTCACCCTCGTTTAATTACACAGCTCAGGAAAAAAAACACGTTTTGGCCTTTAAAAAAGATGTAGTTGGTATTGCATGTGGAATGGAGCTAATAATAAACTAGTCTGACAACACGTCGGCTGCTCTCTGTCATGTAATCGCCTGATTTCTCCACCTCTCACAGGGCACCACCGTGATGCCCAGCCTGACTTCGATAATGTTCGACAAAAACGTGTGGGAGACTCCAGACACCTTTAATCCTGAACATTTCCTGGATAACGGCCAGTACAGGAGGCGGGAGGCTTTTCTGCCCTTCTCTGCAGGTAGGATGATGGATGGGGAGGTGGTTTTTCCTGTTGCAATGCTTCTTCCACCCCCTCAAGACACCTCCTCCAGAGTAGGGGGCACTGCTCCTTGTCCAGCTTCCAGCCCATCCCCGCAGTGAAAATCCCGAGTCACAGTTCACACTGCCTGCTCGGAGCGGGAGGGGAATCAATTTGGTGTTGCGGGCTGATAAAACAAGGCTTTTTCCTCTTGCGCAAGCTGCGGGGAGGTTGTTTTCTTGCGCTGCGTTCCCCTCCTCGGTCTCTCCGAGCTCGGCAGTAAACTTGCGGGGAGGGTTTGTGCAAGGATGTGTGGGTGAACATTGCCACCTAACCTTTCGAGGAAGAAAAGCTCCCGCAGCCTGCGCAAAGCAGCGCATGCGAGAGGCGCCCGAGAGGTGCTTGGAGCCCGCTCGAGACTCAGTGGGGGGTTATTCCGGCTCCTTTTCCAGGTAAGCGGGCTTGTCCCGGGGAGCAGCTCGCCAGGACCGAGCTCTTCATCTTCTTCACAGCCCTCCTGCAGAAGTTCACCTTCCGGGCGCCAGAGGCTGCCATGCTGACCTTCGCCTTCACACTCAGCCTCACACGCTGCCCCAAGCCCTTCCAGATCTGTGCACTGCCGCGTGATTGAGGCCAGCCTGGGGCTGCCCCAGACCCTCCCTGCTTCCCAAAGTGTCGCTATCAGCCCCATAGATTTGGGGCTGGAATGATGGGCCGCGGATATCAAGCACACACTAATATGTGGGTGGCGGTGGGCAGGACAGGAGGGACACATAGAATCAGAATTTAGGCTGGAAGGGACCTTCAAAGGTCATCTAGTCCAACCCCCCTGCAATGAGCAAGGACATCAGCTACATCAGGTTGCCCAGAACCACGTCCAGCCTGGCCTCCAGTGTCTCCAGGGATGTGCATCTACACATCCTGCACACTGCAATGAGGACAACCCTTGCGGCTCTTCCCTCTGTCAGTTTGACAAAGTGCTTGAATTTAAAAGCCTTATTACTTAATTTCAGCCATTAGCAACTTCCAGGAAGGTGTCTGCCAGCTGCAAAACCATGGGCACAGTTGGGTCCACGGCTTTTAATTAATTAAAAGTTGATTAAATGAGCACGAGTTAGTTAATTAAAAAGGCAAGTCGAAGAGATTTTGTTTCCATTTATGCGACCAAGCATTAAGGCTTAGAAATGCAGTTCCCTGTGTGCTTTTGTTTGGAATATAGGCATAGCAAAGATTGCTTCTTTCCTCTTTCCTCCTCACCTTTCATGAGAAGTGACTTTTCTCTGGGCACCCACGTAGGATTCGGAATAGTTCACAGGAAAAGAGAATTAAATACAGTTCCGTTTCCGCCGGCTCCAGCCTCCATCTCTGGCAATAACCGCCTTTGCTGCGCTGCAAAGCAATCCCTGTGCAGTGGCGGATTTACGCCGCATGGGAGAGTCCTTTGCACATCACATCACATCACATCCTCACCACGCCGGGCACTCGAGGGTTTGTCAATGAGTTGCTGCCCTTCTAACTGGTCGCTATCTAAGGGTTGGACCTGCTGCAGTTTGAATGGATGGTTCGCAGTTACAGGCTCCGGTGGCTGGGGTTTTCCTGTCTAAAAGAGAAAAGATCGGTGGCTTTTTTCACCTGTGAGGTTTTCAAAGCCAGTCAGGACTAGGCGCTGGTTTCTCTCCACTCTGGCATAGGTCTGACCTTTGGTTTGACACTACAGCTTGTATTATTTTCACTGGCTTAGCAAATAAATGTTGATCTCGTCCCATTATAAAATGCTTTTCTCTGTCACTTTAGGGCTTCCTTCCCTACTCATGGAGTGAGTAAATGATTGAAGGGTTCTTTTTCTTCTTTTTCTCTGAAATCTATTGGGAAAAAAACCACCCTTCTCTCCCTGCCATTTTTCAATGTAATGATCACATAAAGGCAGGAGACATGGATTTGTTTTTACCCTTTTGAGTGGAATATCTCACGTGAGGGAAGGGGAACACATGCCTCATTTCAAGCCTAAGTGTGCTTAAAAGCCAGAAGTAAAAAGAGAAAAAAACGGGAGGGTTGCCTTTCAGTTCCACAATAAAACAGTGAGTTGGGCTGATTCAGCCTGGAGAAGAGAAGCCTCCTTAAGGGGAGACCTTAGAGCAGCTCCAGTGCCTAAAGGGGCTACAGGAAACCTGGAGAGGGGCTTTGGACAAGGGCCTGTAGGGACAGGACAAGGGAATGGCTTTAAATTGACAAACACCCCTGCTTCTTTCACAATAAAACACCACACATACATCAAAATTCAGTGTGGAGTATGTGCAAGATCGACTACCTGTCCCAGAGCCACTCTCAGAAGGGAAAATTAACACAGCCTGTTACCAGCTTACCCAAAGGGCCACAGCGTCTGCTTTAGCTTCCCAGCTCCTGCCTTAGCTTTGTTGGGCTTTCAGCAGCTCCAGCACGGGCTATAGGCTTAGAGGCAGGTGAGAAGGGGTGGCTGGAGGGCTCAGTGTAGGCCACCTTTATGGCCAGAGAAAGTTGTTCTGCTTGCATTTGCTTATCAGAAATCAGACAGTCACAGTGCTTAGAAACCACTGCAGATCCCGGATGGGTGCTGGCTTTCAGCCCACATCACCCTGACGCACTGAAACCCCAGCCCGTGAGTCAGATGGTGGCTTGTGAAAGGATTGTGCAACCTTATCTCGGGTGTCCCTGCTGCCCTAGGGTTCGGTCTGGCACTGTTCCTACCAGTGGCAGAGCTTCCGCAAACAACAGAAACGCAAGGTGCTCAGAGCGGCTGGAGCCTCCCCAGCACCGGGAAGCTGACACCAGGACACAGCACGGTGAGAGAACCATGGGAAGGGGAGAGCAGAGCTTGCACCAAGCTATGGGCATGGGGAGGCTGCCAGAAGGTTTTAATCCTGGCCCCGCAAAGCTTGTTTCTGTCCTTTAGACAAGGACGTGGATCACTGGTGTTTTGTAATGCAGTGGTGGGAGGCCAGAGGGGAAAGGGGGAGCTTTGGGGTGTTTTGGTGTGTGATTTTTTGTTTTTAATGAGCTCAGAGGAAATGCCTGAGTTTAATCAAGAAGGGAGTTGATCAAATGAAACCTGGGAAAGCAGGAGTCCGAACGAAGCCTCCAAAGCCAGGTCAGGGTAAGCTGTTCCATGCTGTCTCATGTGTGTGTTCCCACAGCTGTGCCAGCATCTTGACCATCTCCCCCTGTCCCTGGGGGTTCAGTGGTGCCCCCTGAGCTCGACCTGCCCTGACCCCACCATCCAACCATGCTGCGCTTCCTGTGGGACAGCATCTCCTTCCAGGTGATCTTCGTCTTCTTATTTGTCTTTCTCCTCGTCGCCGACTACATGAAGCGCAGAAAGCCAAAGCACTTCCCTCCCGGCCCCTTCTCCTTACCCTTTCTGGGGCACATCTACCTGATGGACTTCAGCAATCCCCAAGCCGTGGTGAACAAGGTACAAAGGACGTGGGCACCTTGGGGAAGGGAATGGGGAACACTGGAGCTATGCAACCTTTGTGGTGTGGGGAAGGGTTAACCAAAGCCCCACGGACCATGAGGACTCAGAGAAGCAAAGCCCAGGGCAGGCAGGAGGTTTGCCCTCAGTCAGCAGCAACGTGTATGAAGTTTGCCTTCATATGAGGAGGGGGGCAAGTGCAGAGTGATCCTTTGGGCAAAGGGCACGACACGATACCATGGGTGCAGTCGCAGCAGTAGTAGCTCCACAGGTCTGAGCAGGGATTGGAAGAGTGTTTGGGAAGGGAGTGAAAGAAAAGCGGGAAAAACGCAGGACTGAAAAATCAAACCTGTCGAGTTTCACTTGATTTATGGCCAATTAACACCAACGCCTGCTCAGTGACTTGGGATAAGAGGAAATAAGAGGAGACAACACGCACGCAAGCAGACACTTGTGCAAACATCCCGTCTCCCCTCCCACTCCCAGCTTCCCTTAGTCTCACCCGTGTCCTCTGCCAGGGCTGTCCCTGTCCCAACAGACACATCCACTGCAAATGAAACCCCTTTCTTTATTTCCCACCCCTTCCCAGCTTCATGAAAAATACGGGGACATCTTCAGCATGTATATGGGACATGTACCGTTTGTGTGTGTAAGTGGGCTGCGGATGATTAAGGAAGTTCTTGTAAACCAAGCGGAAAACTTCATGGATCGCCCCGAAATTCCTATTGACAAGGAGATCTTCAGCAGCTTGGGTGAGTTATCCCTCAGGTGAAAGCACTGGTCCTGCAGAGGTCCAAGACAGCTGAGATAAGGGAGAGCCCTGAAGCTTTTTCCCCACGGTGGCGAGATCTGCCTTGCTTTGGCTCATGGTGGGGTGTTCCTGCCAGGACTGATCTCCTCCAACGGGCACTTGTGGAAGCAGCAGAGGAGATTCACCTTGACCACGCTCCGAAACTTTGGCTTCGGGAAGAGGGGCCTGGAAGAGCGCATCCAGGAGGAGTGCCGATACCTTGTGGAAGCATTTGGGGAAGAACAGGGTGAGTGTTGTGGCCCTCATATGCTGTGCTGAAGGCAGGTATCATCTATGATTCACTGTATGCTGAAATATACCTTCCCTTGCACGCGATGCTAGCACCCTGCCAGCATGCCAGCTCCCTGTTGCAGGTGCTTTGCCTTCAAACTGACTGGTGAACGCAGCCAGGTAACACCCCAAGTGTTATTCAAAGCCCACCTTCAACCTGCTGCTCTCCTGAGATCCCTGGAAAATCCCATGTGTGTAAACACCAATGTTCCCAACGAATTCAAATGACGTCCGCTCTGCTTTGCACGCTGAACAAACATCTTCACTATCTGATTGAACTGGGACCACTCTGGTTACCCAGCCGAGCTTGACCAGCGCATGGAGGGGGCAAGGCCAGGAGAGCAGTGACACAGGATGATGCCCATCAAGGTTCCACTGTCCTGGGGTTAAAGCCACAACAGCCACTCATTTCACTCATATTTATTGAACATTTTACCTCTGACAGTTGTGTTTCCTTCTTTTCTGTGAAGCCTGGAAGTGAATCGATCATTCCCTTTTCCTTCTCCAGGGAATCCTTTCAACCCTCAATATAAAGTCACTAACGCTGTTTCAAATGTCATCTGCTCTGTCATCTTTGGCAATCGGTTTGACTACCACGATGAGAAGTTCCAAAAACTGCTGGAGCTGTTGAACGAGACATTTGTTCTCCATGGGTCTGTCATGAGCCAGGTACAGCCCTCCTGCCACCAGCATGGATGGCGTGCAGTTCTGCAGGGCCGTAGTTTCTTCTCTGGAGTCAACCTCTAAACCTGTATCATTTGCATCACCAGATGCTGTTGCTGTTCCTTATTCATTTGCACGGGGTTAGATTTGCCTGTAATTTCCTCCTGCCTTCTTTTCAAGCTGTGCATGTTCATGTTGCTCTCTTTCACCCCACATCCTGCCCATCAACTGCCAACCTGCCTGCTGTAACACCGGGTAATGCACAAGTCACTCTGTAATAGGCACACCAGTCCCTTGTAAAGCCCTTCTGGAGCCGAGCTGTTTCCACCAACTCTAGTAATTTATTAAGCTTGAAGGCTCCTCAAGTTTTGATAACAGAAAGGTTTTTTTTTCAGTCCTTTATTAAATTTGCCTTTCTCCTTTTGTGTCCAAAGCTGTACAACTCTTTCCCATCTATAATAAAGTACTTGCCTGGATCCCACCAAACCATTTTTAAAAACTGGAAGTGTATGAAAAGCTTTGTGCAAGAGAAAATCGACAAGCACAAGGAGGACTGGAACCCCTCGGAGAACCAGGACTTCATTGACAGCTACCTGACAGAGATGGCCAAGGTCAGCAATGTAGAGTAAGCCCTTCTGCAATTGGGCTTAGAAATAAGGAGGGATGAGAAATCATAGAAGGGTTTGGGTTAGAAAGGACCTTAAGATCATCCAGTTCCAACCGCCCTGCCATGGCCAGGGACACCTCACACTAGACCATGTTGCCCAAGGCTCTGTCCAACCTGGCCATGAACACTGCCCGGGATGGAGCATTCACAACCTCCCTGCACAACCCGCTCCAGTGCCTCACCACCCTCACAGTGAAGAACTACTTCCTTGTATCCTACCTGAACTTCCCCTATATAAGTAAGTATAAACCCATCTCACCTTTTTGTGCAGAACAATGCCAGCGGCAGCTTACAAGAGGAAAACCTCGTGGCCTGCACACTGGACCTGCTGTTGGCTGGGACCGAGACCACTTCCACAACCATCCGCTGGGCTCTGCTCTTTATGGCCAAATATCCAGAAATTCAAGGTACAATTAGCAAAAGCTCAGTGCCTTCCCTTGCATTTACGCTGACACCTTCATGAGAAACTCTCTTTTTTGAGAGGAAAAATGGGGAGCCTCCTTGCACTCACCTAAAAGAGGTGCAAACAGCAGCAGATTGGTCCCTGGGGGACCCTCACAGCAACCTCCTTGTACCTTGACTGATCCCTGCTCTTTCCCACCAGCCCGTGTGCAAGCTGAGATCGACACGGTCATCGGGCAGGCACGGCAGCCAGCCCTGCAAGACAGAGACAGCATGCCCTACACCAACGCCGTCATCCACGAAGTGCAGAGGAAAGGCAACATCATCCCATTCAATGTGCCAAGGATGACGATAAAGGACACGTTTGTGGACGGCTTCTTCATACCAAAGGTAACCCTGCTCCTGAGTGCTGAGACTTCAGTAAGCAACACTGCTTGGATGGCAAAAGCAGATGTCCACTAGGAGAGAACTCTGGACAGGGCAGAGATGCTGTGGCTCTGCCCTACCTGGCCTAGGGATTCATGCCCAGGGAGCTGGGAATTGCTGAAGTCCCAGCACTCAGGAGCAGTGTTGCGCTGTGTGGTGACACTCTCTCCATGCACGCTATCGAGGCACAGGTTCCATCTCAGAGCTATTACAAGAACTTTGACCCACCACTACAGCGGATAAAAATGAAGCTGATGAGGGAAAACTGAGGGTATATAATCATTGTACCTCTGAACAGATTAGAAGTAGGAAATTGGCCATGCAGGGCGGTGTTGGACAAGTAATTGCAGCATGATTTGACTGTGGATGTTCTTCATGGAGAGGAGACTGGAAGATAAAAATGCCCCTCCTGCTGTCAGCAACAGGAAAAGTGCAATTTGTTTTTCTCCTTCTAGGGCACTATTATGACAACGAGTTTAACCTCTGTGTTGTTTGACAAGAACGTGTGGGAAACCCCTGATGCTTTTAACCCTGAGCATTTCCTGAAGGATGGTCAATTCTACAAAAACGAGCATTTTATACCATTTTCTATAGGTAAGATCTGTTGGATTGTGATGCTTCTGTGCTGAGGCAGTGGGATGGGGCTTCCAACTGCACAGTAGAGACACGGAAGAAAATAGCAATGGAAAGAGCAGACACTGGCTGCACACTGGGAGGTGGTGCCACAGAAGCAGTGCTGATGTGGCCATCCCAAAGCACCATGACTACACTGAGCCCTTTCCTGTCCCTCTTCACATGCACTGAGGAGAGATGAGGATGAATAAAAGACCATAAAAATGCCAGAGATCCCAGAAATACCTTAAGAAAGGGAAGAGCATGGTCCTGTGTTCCACCTCCCATGTGGGTTCACTAAGGGCTCCACAGGGTACTCCAAGCAAGAGCTTCCCCATAGACAATGCTTTTATCATCCCTGTTTTCCATCCCAGCATCACACACCTTCTTTGATACCTCTCTTTGGTGTAGCTCATATAAGCCACTTCTCCCAGCATGGACATATGCAGACCATACGTGTCAGCAGAGCTTATCCAAGCAGGGGAGGATACAGTGCATAGTCAGTTACACACACATGCCCTCACAAAGTTATGCAATCCAGGGAGGAAGCCCATGCCCTAACACCAGCACCATTATTGGGGTGCTCAGGTTGGGCTGCAAAACTCATCCTGGGAAGCAGGTAACACAGCTGAACTATGGTCCCAATGGACACAGAAGCTTTTTCATCAGCCAACACAGGTGGGTTGGACTAGATGACCTTCAAATGTCCCTTCCAACCCATGATTCTATGATTCTATGATGCCATTGGTGGCTGTCTCCGCAGGGAAGCGTTCCTGCCTGGGTGAGGTGCTGGCCCGCTCTGAGCTCTTCGTTTTCTTCACGTCTCTGCTCCAGAAATTCACTTTCCAGGCACCCCCGGACACCACGCTCAGCCTCGAGTTCCAGCTGGGCATCGCAGTGGCCCCACAGCCCTACAAGATCTGTGCCGTTCCTCGGTAGGGAAGCCTTGGCTGCCATCCACACAGGGAAAAGCCTTTAGCAGGTAGCGATGAGCCCTCAGCAGCTCCCCTGCGTGGTGGCAACAATTGCCCAGTTCCTGTTTGTTTCCCTTAAAGCAATTGCAAAATCAGTTCTTTTACAAGTGGACCTCGCACCCTGCGTCACATGAGGCAGGTGATCAGCCTGGGACCTGCCAGGGCACTTCCCTATGGCACTGCAAAGGAATGGGGGGCTTGGGGCTTTGCTCATTTTATGATGGATGGCCATGCTTCAGAGCAGCAAGAAAACAGGCAACACTTCAGAGGTTGCAGTGTTCCGGCTGTGGCTGTGTACCATGGAAGAGCAGAACCACCCTCGCTTGATAACATTAGTACAGGTATTGATTGCCAAGATTCCTTGGTTTCGTTATCACTGACAGGTAATCAATTCAAACCAAAAGTCACTCTGTAACATCTCGCACATCAATAAATCCTCACCAAAACATTTCTGTCATGAAGCATTCTGCAACGGGCAGACCAACGTTGGCTGTAGCCTTTGGCCATGCCCCAGCTTTCGGGGCAGTGGATGGCAGGGGGACTGCGAGCCCATCCGGGCAGAGGCAGCAGCACAGCACCAAATCCCCATTGCTGCAGCATTGCTCTGTCAGCAGAGAGGTTGCCACTGTAACAGCAAAGGCAATTCCTACAGAAGTGCTGAAAACAAATGACCCTGACAGTACAAATGGATGAGCAGGGAAACTATTAAAGCCTGTGGCAGGGTCCTGGTGCGCCACAGCAGTTACACGTGCAACACCCACAGAGAGGGCTCTCTACTGACAGATACCTCTATGAAACATCTGTACTTCTTGCTATAGAAGTTGCGGGTCCTGTCTCTTAGAATAAACTAAACCCTCCCCATTTACCTGCCCAGCAACACATGATAAATGGCTGCTAATGAATTAGGGACTGTAGCGACAGGACAAGGGGTAACAGGGTCAAACTTAAACAGGGGAAGTTTAGATTATCCAATCCAATTCTTTCCTGTGAGGGTGGTGAGGCACTGGAATGGGTTGCGCAGGGAGGTTGTGAATGCTCCATCCCTGGTAGTTTTCAAGGCCAGGTTGGACAGAGCCTCGGGTGAGATGGTTTAGTGTGAGGTGTCCCTGCCCGTGGCAGGGGGGTTGGAACTGGATGATCTTAAGGTCCTTTCCAACCCTAACTATTCTATGGTTCTATGAATAAAAGGGACCCTTGGAAAATATCAGTAAATACTTCCTATTATTTTAAATTATGATCAAATGCACCTCTTCTATGGAGACAGGCTGAAAAAGCTGAACTTGTTCAGCCTGGAGAAGGCTCAGGGGAGACCTTAGAGAAGCTTCCAGTGCCCAAAGGGGCTACAAAGAAAGCTGAAGAGGGGCTTTTATAAGTGCATGTAGTGATAGACAAGGAATGGATTTAAATTAAGAGGGGAAGATTTAAATCAGATACAAGGAAGCTCTTCCCTGTGAGGGTGCTGAGGTGCTGGCACAGGGTGCCCAGAGAAGCTGTGGCTGCCCCATCCCTGGCAGTGCTCAAGGCCAGGTTGGACACAGGGGCTTGAAGCAAGCTGCTCCAGTGGAAGGTGTCCCTGCCGGCGGCAGGGGTTGGAGCTGGATGAGCTTTAAGGTCCCTTCCAACACAAACCAGTCTTAAGAGTTTGTGTAAGGTGAAACAGTTCTAAGATCGACAACACCAATGGTTAACACCAGTGAAGGCATGGACTCAGTAACAGTCACACCATGGGACCCTGGCAAGGCCTCTGAGTGAAAGCTGCAGCTCCTGGGAACAGGACAGAGTGCACAAGGTGGGAAGGCACCGGCTCAACAGGCACCACTAAACACCTCCAGCTCACTTCCACCTGCTGAGGAAGAACGGGGAAAGCAATCTTTTCCTGCTCATTTCCAGTTTTGCATGTGTTCCTATAGGAAGCAAATTTTTCCCACTGTCACTTAGGAAAATTAAGTCGTCATCTGCAGGAATTAAAGGCATCCTTTTTCATGCAAGCATGAACACCAAGGTAGGTTTTAAATCCTTTTATTTTAACTTGCATTTTCTTCTCCTCCAAGCACAGAGGGGAGGAACCAGGGAAGGCTGGGATCACCCTTGGGCCCCACTGCTGCACACTGGGGCCAAGCACAGCTGTATAACATAAAGCTAGAGTTATAGGAGGTGAACACAGCTTCTGGCACAGCTCCTTCTCGCACAGGGCTTGGAGGGGAGGCTCTTCCCCCTCCTCTGATTTTCTGTCGCAGGCACAGCCAGGTGGAAATAAGAGGTTGGATTAAGATGCTGTTTCTGGCACTTGAGGCTCCTGTTTTACAGATCCATAAGGTGGAGACGGGAGAAGACGTGGTGGGAACCAAACCAACCTATTTACAAAACGCAGGAGACTTGACCAGGTTCTCAATACAAGTGGGATGAGACTTCCCTAACCTAGGCTCTCTCTACCCTTTCTCACCCTGCAACCAACTTGCTCCTGGCAAGGCTCTCCCACATCTTCCCTTCACAGTAAAAACAAGGAAGTTCATTTGACTTTCTAGACCTTATGTTCTTTCTTTTCCTTCCTTGGAAGAAGCAGAAGGGGAAGGCTGGAAGTGGGCTGCATGCCTGGAATCGACTGAAAGAGAGGGGCGCAGTGACAAGTTTGTTGTGCGCAGCGTTGCTCCCACAGCACTTCCAGTCTGCAGGTGTCATCTGTTGGCTGAGACTCCCATTTCCTTTCCCAGGCTGCTGCTATACCCAAAAGCTTCCTCCCCCTCCTCCGTGGGCCTCGGCTGGGGTAGCAGCGCTCTGTGCAACGAGCGCATTTCACAGGGCTGTTTTGCACAGGGGCTCCGTGAATAGTTTATGTTCTCCACAGAACCATCTCCATGGTTCTGGAGGACCTCACCTCCTCCCTTTCCTTGCACTGTGCTCTGCCACAGACAGCCCTTGCTTAAACATACAAACCTTCTGCTTGGCTTGTAAGGAGCTACCAGAAGCACAGACTGGTTTGGGTTGGAAGGGACCTTAAAGCTCATCCAGTCCCAACCCCCTGCCATGGGGCAGAGACACCTTCCACTAGAGCAGCTTGCTCCAAGCCCCTGTGTCCAATGTGGCCTTGAACACTGCCAAGGATGGGGCAGCCATGATTACTAGAAAAGCCAGGGTCTGCATTTGAACAGAGCTTCCCATGACCAAGCACTTGGGAATGACCCACACGCCACCCCTCGCTTAACCCTGTGCTCAGGAAGGCAGTGGTAGCTGACAGTGTGTCCCATGACTGCTCACACATGGGCTGAAAACATCCTGCAGCTCAGCACAGGCTTCCTGCGCAGCTGAAAGTCTTTTCCCTTCCCTCCTCCCTCAAACCCACACCTGCAGTTTTCATTCTTTGGTGTCTGAGAACACTTACATCCAGCCTCAGAAAGAAGGAAAAATGGTTCTTCTGTATCTGGACACTTCACAGTCACTGGGACCCTTCTGCCCTTCCACACCGAGGTACCACAGAGCTCCCCATCCTCACAGGGGTAGCAGCCCAAGGCAATAAAAATCGATGCTTAACATTGTCAGGATAGTCAAGCCATGAATTATGGTTCAGAGAGAGGGAAAACCTGTCCTAAAAGCAGGTCTGAAACCAGGCCCTGAAGGACACTTGCGACACCTTCTTCCTGCTGATCTTCAGCCTGGAGGGCTGAATGGCTGCCTGCTCTCATTCCCAACCTCACTTCTGGGTTAAGGTTAGTGCTCAGGGAACAGGAAAGCTGTCAACAAGACTAAGAACTGGGCACATAAATAGCCTGCAAAGCAGACTGAAGGGAGTAGTCAGTTTTCTTTTCCAGATAAGAACAAGTGGGGTGATTTAGAAGCATATACCTGTCCTCTGTGTCCTCTTAGCTAGGGCTGGGGAGGGTAGGCAGAGAGCCTAACTGAGCAGAACTGTATGTAGGAATGAACTGAAGAGAGGAGGGGAAGGCAGTACAACTGATTTGTCGTTATGGCAAAACATACAAAGGGTTACACATACATGTTACAGATCCTGTAACATGACATTTCAGACAGTGCAATTCTATCAACAAGCAGACCCAGTTCATATGCTGCCCAAAACTATGGATACATCATGGTAACAGCAGCTAGGGACCATTATATACACTGCTTGCAATAAAGACACCAGAGAATTGATTTTAAAAATCTTTATGTGAATATAAAAGAATTCTTTCCAAAGAAAAAAATAAACCCAAAAGTTTAAAAATTAGTGCAATTTTCCAAGTTCTATGCAACACAGTGTTTACATTTGTTTTAAACAGAAGATGTAGACACTGATACACTGAAAACCTGAACTCTAGCGTCACTAGTGGGGGAGAAGGGAGAAAAACATAAAAGTTAAGAAAATTATCTTAGTACACATTAGCCACTCTTGAACAATTGTTTTCATTTCCTAATTCCTAAGCTATTTATGGCCACCTAAATAAAACATCAGTATTGCTTATATTACTCATTTCCAAGTAAGTGTATATTGTAGAAAATAGAATACCCATATATATATATTTTAATGAACAATAAGAAAATCAGGTGAAAACTTATTTTCATTTTCAGTGACTGTTTTTTAATCCACTATAATACAGTTGTTGCAAAAGAATCTTCTCAAAACTGCTGCCTGATCCGCCTTGAATAAAAGAACCTACTAGTCCAAAATTTGTATTATTGCTATAAAATACTTCTCTTCCATATTAATTAATCTTACATAAAAAAATATTCACAGATGATATGTCAATCAGCACATATTTTTGTCTCTTTGGATTTATATTACCCATTTTACTGGAAACTGGCTAAAGTTACTAATAATGCTGATTAGCTTCAGCAAGATTCAATGATTTCATCTCATAACTTTAATCTGTTCCTAACTGTGCTGTCTAGACATGATATGAATTCATCTTGCAGCAGAGACAAGGAGCCTCTTTCTTTGTGCTGCCTCACACTGCATTAAAGAACATTGTACTGATGTGCTGCTGCACCATATTGCATACAACTCAGCTGCAACACAGCAACGCTATTAGTACCTTTGACATGAATGAAGTTAATATTAAAATGATACTTATTCTAATGATCCTTTCTGCACAGCCAGATGAGGTGAGGTGAATACAACACCATGGCTTATAATCAAATATTTATTTCTACAGATTGATTCCTCATTCATAGGACGTAACCCAATTCTAACCAGTTATCAAGCAGTCACTCTTGAACAGGTTCTCAATCCCAAAGAAACACTTAAGTTGTATTCACAGGCTAAACTTCCAACAGTTTGGAAAAGTCCCAAATAAGTAACATTTCATTTAATACCTGAAAACTCGATTCATTTTTGGCACCCCCAACAAGACTACTGGGGACAACCTTGCCCCTGAAGAAGGCTGATCCCTGTCTTTAGTTCCACTGCTAGTCAGAAGAGAAACTTGCAGCTAAATGATAAGGAGGTTCTTGGTCACTTTTGGTCCCAGGGATTGCAGTTTTGAGAAGTATACAGAGACATTTGCTCCAATTTTTCACTATTCAGCACCCAATATGACTACTGACACAGCTCTACTACCGTGAGAAGTACAACAAACGCATCAAACCTACTTAACTAGATGAGTATTTGAAAGGTGTCCATTAAAGTTTCCATGCTGTAAAGAACGAGGGTTAAGAGACCCACTCAACACCATCAGCAACAGTTTCACATTTCACTACAACACACCAAAGTACCAGGCTTTAGAATTACAAGCATCTTGCTAAGACTTAGTCTCCTGTTCCACTGCTCACCACCATCTCCCACACCACTAGCAGATTAAACAAGCAATTGTATGTTAAAAATACAAACAACATTACTGCAGCAATGAAAGACCTCAAAACCCAGGAGGTAGTCAAAGGAGCATAAAGTCCTGAAGAACACAACCTGACAGACAAAACCCTCCAGTGATGGTTTGTCTGGCATATTCTCTGTTCACACCACATTTAGCATGAGACTGGCTTTTAAACAATGCCTTATGTAGACAGAAGTTTTGAAAGAGGAAGTCTGTTGAATGCCTAAATATAGAGCACTGTAAAACTATCACAACTAAGAAGCAATGCTAACTCAGCGTTAAAAATTAATACTTCCCTTTTCTCTTTGCATTGCATTGCATGCAATGCCCAATAAATAATTTAAGAGGCTGGGGAAGGAAGAAATCAAACAACAAGCCATACCGAGGGGCATGCAAAATGGAAAACTACTCAAAGTTCACAATTCAAAACTTAAACCCTGCAAAGCTGAATCAAAGATGGCCTTAATGGTGAAGGCAGACATATGCTTTCATTGACACATATGGCTGAGTTTTATATTTAGATCACAGACTGCTACAGCACCCTCAAATACTTGAAGTGTATTCATATTATTTTAAGGGCTGTTGTACTTTTATTTAACTATGTGTATAATGAGTTTGTTCTAGATAGTTTGCAAAGAATGGACATTAACAAGTTTCCTAAAAATACAGTTCCTAACAGAAATAAGATATTTGGTAAATAAAGTGACACAATTTTTGTGAAAGATAGCAACTTCCCACACAAGAATTCCAAATATCAATCCCCATTTCATTTCCTTTGATCTAGATCCTGCAAACTATTATAGTTTATGCATTTTTCTCCCTGCCAACAAACAAGCTTTGCTGCCAACAACTAGCAAAGCTATCTCATTCATCTGCCTACCACAATCAGTTCAGAATAACTGAAGTGAAACTACATTAAAAAAATGAGGAAAATTGATTTCTATGCACAGGGTTGCATAAATAGCTGGAAATAAACTGGTTCCTTCCCACCTAACTCCCTTTCTGCAAATAAATGCAGTGTACCGACATGCCAGACTTTTAAAACATAGCCCAGACTTTTGAATTCTTATAAATAGCTCTTTTTCTTCACACAGGAAAAGACAGTTTATTTGGCTTTAGGGAATTCAACATCTTCAAGACAGGTTTTCCTGAATGTATATATGCACAAACTTAATCTTTTCTAAGTAAACTGTGTAATTCTGCTTCTCACCTGAGATGACAAAACAAATCCTGCCTCCTGCTATGTAAACAAGTCAACTGGTACTTCACCTTTTTTCTTTTTCTATTAAATGCAAGTATTTTCCTTGCTTTTAAAATCACTGTACTTTGTATTCTAAAAAAAAAAGCTTTTCTTTAAGCCCTGGTACCAATCTTTTATTTTGAGAAGACCCCAGCGAAAATGCCCTATATTGCCAGTTTCCTGCAGAATGCTTTTGCATAACATCTTACAAAAAGTGAACCTTCTAGCCCAAACCCATTGGATAAAGTTTTAAATATATAGTGCCAAATTTTATATTTACAATATATTCTGAAAGCAAATATAAATCTTTAAGTTGTGCTTGTAAATACATACTGCAGCTATTAAATCTACTCTTGGAAATCTATCTGCTACTTTCTAGACACACCACTGATTGACTCAGACTTCTTGCTAGGTTTTGATGTTGAATTCACAGCTGCCCACCATTCTAACCTCTTCTTTCATCAAGTAGTTAAGAGTGGAAGCTATAAAACATTTAAGGACACTTTAGCATCGTTTTCCTCATGGTCCTTGTGGTTTAATCGGATGTTGCACCTTGTACTTTAACAGTGATATTCCTTCTGGTATTGGTGACGTGACGCTGTTGAGCTAGAAATGAGCGTCCGGGACCGTCTCTGCAGGCACCGCTACTGCCAACCAGTCTTGCTTCCATACCTAGCTTCTGAAGAGTTATGCTCTGCAAATAAGTTAAACAACCTTTACTGGCCATTTTTCATACACAGAGCTCATGCTTGCTTAGTATACACACAGAACTGCTGCCATAAAAGATACGAACCAAGGCTGTAGAAAGAAAGATTCATTCACATGCGTATGCAATGTGTTCATTTAGGTTATTGTAAAGTTGTTCCTTTATTAAGCCATTTAATTTTGCTTTGCTTTTCTAATTTCCCATTCCAGTTTTTCATCATGAACCTCTATTTAAACATGTGAAGATAAACAACTTTCTCCAGTCCTTTTCACAGCAATGTTAACATAAAACATCCTAACAACCTTGGCAACACTGCTGCAGGATGAGAAAATGCCTCTAGCTTTATATCACAAATACTGTGCTAAAAACACTGAGCATCTAAAGCAGGAGTCTGGAAACCTTTTGAGCCACAGCCTCCCTTTATCTTAAGCTCAGAAACTTCAACAGCAAATGCTACTTCAACAACAAATGCTATTGAATTTGCAATCCAGATGTACTACTTGCTGCCACAAGCTTCCATCACTAACAAGGAAGTCACGGCCTATGCCAAATTTTAGGTCTTCTGTTCCAAAGCACAGAAGACAAGGAGAAAACAACTTATACAAACTAGTTGATTGTTATAATATTCCTAAAAAAAAAAAATACTAGATGTGATGTAAGATTTAGCTGTCACATTTAGCAAAATGTGGTTTTCTGATTGCTGAG